CTTCTAGTATACATATAATGTGTCCTAGAAAACCAAAATTTGAAAGGATAATTTTTTAAATAGGAAAAAATATACCTGGGGTTAATATCCTATTCTAAAAATAATAAATAAATAATATTCTATTCTATTTTCCAGCTGTTCCATCTAGATCTCAAAGGATCATTGGCGGATCAGTTACCACCATCGACCAGTACCCTTCTATAGCTGGGCTTTTACTAACACATAACTGGAGCACCCACTGGCATCAATGTGGTAGTATCATCCTCAACAACCGGTCCGTTCTCACAGCAGCTTACTGCACCGAGTACGTACTTTTTATATGTAAAAAAATCATGTTTGTAAGTAATAAAATATCATTTGTAAAGTTGATCATTATTTTATTTCTTTTGCAGACGTACAAGTATTAGCAGATGGCATATCTGTGTAGGCTCCTCATGGGCTCACAGCGGTGGTGTCCTGCACAACATTAACAAGGAAATCATCCACCCTCAATACAACATAGGAGCTCGTTGGAACAATGACATCGCCATCCTTCGCTCCGCTACCACTTTCTCCTTCAACAGCTATGTCCGCGCTGCCTCCATCGCTGGTGCTAACTACAACGTGGTGAAACCTTTGTAACTCAAATAATGAAACAGATTACAATAGGCTCAGGGCGTTTACTCTTGAAACCAATTTCAACGTCAATGCAATTTCAAACCAATAAAATCTCAATAAGTAATTCAATGTCAAAATTATACAACCCCTATCGTATCTATTAAAATAGCATTCAGAGTACGGAATATAAAGACTAACTCAATACAATTTAGTTCATTAAATATTCACGTAATATGGATGCAATAGGCGCTAGTATTGCAACTCAAGAGTACGAAATTTCACAATACCAATGTCGATCGATCTGAATTGGATTCAAGAGTAAGCCATAACCAATTATTATTGGTTGTACTTCAATAATAATTGAAACGTAATATATATTGTGTTAAATATTATATGTATATTTAAATTATGTTTTCTTTTCTAGACTGGTGACTCCGAGCAACTTCATCACGTCCAGGTTGTAGTTATCAACCAGAATACGTGCAAAAACCAGTATGTTAATATTGGCATCTCGATCACTGATAACATGTTGTGCTCTGGGTGGTCCAAAGGTGGTCGCGACCAGTGTGCGCGTGACTCCGGTGGTCCTGTCTACCACAATGGTGTTGTTGTCGGTGTGACCTCATTTGGTATGGGATGTGGTGATCCAAATTACGCTGGTGTCAATATTCGCGTGTCTCGTTTTACTGCTACGATTACTGCTAACGCATAAGAATCATTCAACATAGAGATATGCTTTCGAAAAGTTAATAAATTTTTGAAGAAATGTTTTAGTTTGTATTATTTATATGAAGAAAATTTGTATTTGTAATTTCTACATTGTTATGAACTTGTGAACCGTTGTTGCAATAATGAGTTCAAACCCATAAATAATAACTAAGCTTTAGACAATGCTGGTATTTATATAAAACTTTATTTATTTATTTAATAATTCATGGACACACAAACAGCACAGAGGATAACACACATATATATAAAATAAGAGTACAAAGGTGCTACTTATTCCTGTTGGAATTTCTTCCAGTAGACCTGAGACAGGAAATGTAATTATAACATAACTAACTTTGTTAGGTGAATGAAAGAGCATGTCAATGGTTCTAATTATTATATATATGCGCCTGTAATTTTACTTCCATTCAAACGTGGTCTTGATTCAAAGAATAACTAATTTGATATTGACATAAATATATAACTACATAACATACCAAGTCCGTGCCATTAGTCTTTATGTTGCAGTCACATAATAAATAATTAGAATAATTTTTAAACATCTGAATTTGTACAATAAAAGTAGTTGACCCCCGTTGGCGGCAAAATTAAAAATGGAACAGGTTTTGAGATACAAATAAATGATGAGTAAGCATGATAATTTGAAACGTTATTTGGATTTACGTAGGTTACCCATGTTTTGAGTAAGTCCAAAAATGATCGCTCAAGGTCATCTTACAATTCATAAGCTAGGGATTATCAATTTCGGATAGTGTGCAAACATTTTGTTTGTTTGCCAATTAAGTAAGATGAAATGATATAATTTTTTGGAGATTTTTAGACAGACAGATATTTTAATCAATTCCCGGTAATATAAATATTCACAAATAGCACTATTGTCTTTACAGCGGAGTAACTTCAACATGCGTGCCTTTGCTATCCTGGCCCATAGTTTAGCAACGGTCGCATCTACGTCATAAAAAAATGTCAGATATCTTTTAAATACCAAATATATTAATATACTAATACTATAATAATAGCGCATAAAATGCTATTCTTAAATGATAAAATTACGATGGAATTCACATAAAAGAAATATATTTTAATTTGCAGCCATCCCGTCCAGTTGGTCATTGCTCAATATCCTACTATTTCTTCTCTACTGTTAAGACAAGATGGAAACTTCTTTGGACATTAATACGACAGTACTATCATCAACAACCGAGGCGTCCTCACTGCTGCTCATTCCAATGATTTTTTTATAGTACCTACCTACATACGTTTTGAATGTGATAATTATGCAAGCCAAAAACATTATGCAACATAAAATCTACCACCAGCAAGTATCAATGTGTCTGTTTCCGAGTTATATGTACTTTCTAAGATTATATGTATATGCGAAGGAAAACATCGTACAGAAACCTGGGTTTATAATTTCTAATTATACCTAAGTTTGAAACCGCTAACTTGCATTGAGCAGGCGTGGTTACAATTTTCTGTAACATATTATTATCATAGTCATAAAAATATTACACAATAAATGCCCTATATCAGTTGTTACTTGTTATTATTAACATAAAAATATATTGAAAACCATTCATAATATGAAAGTAAACAAAGAAATATGTGACATTGGGAGTGAAACGTTAAAATCACAAACAATAAAATATGTCACATTCCTTTTCATAAGACAAGAGTTTTGCTATGGCACGACTGATATCATGGCCTCACAGGTAACCGGCGTGAAATAGCCAACTCGCTGTGTGAATTAGGTTACTGAACGCACTAAATTTCCCATTTCCCATACATTTTTCTCTACAATCCTCAATCCTCGAGTCCTCAACTTCAAATGCCTTACCCTAAAAAGGTCGACGACACACTTGTAAAAAATTTGTGGTTACGGGTATCTATGGGCGATGCCAATTGCTTACCATAAGTTGATCCATCTGCTTGTTTGCGGGGTTATTCCATTGAAATAAAAATAAAATCATACTTCTTACCACAGCTATTTACTTCAATCAAAACTAGTGTTAATTGTCTTGTGTGATAGAATGACCGTTAAAACAAAAAAATATATGTATTTTAATTTTCTACAAAATTAATGAATAGTTAAAAGTAATAAAAATATTTTAGTATTTAACACTTTCTGCAAGTCGTTAAATATATCACTTCGTGCTTGCAGGTAAAAAAAACCCCAAACCTTTTGTGTTAAACGTGCACGAAGGCTTAACGTCAACGTCAATTAGCAGAATGTTTTCTATGATACTGAATTAACGAATTGTTCTTATCGTTGCGAAGAAGCTATAATATTTTTGGAATCGTTTTTTCAATCTAGACAGATAAAAGGATGTCGTACCATTTAATGGAGCTTACATATTGGCTGCGTTACAGTTTTATTTTATTTGCAAATAAATTTTTTTTGATGCTTGTTAATAGAAATTTTTACTAATGTTAAGTCATTGAATATTAAGGAACATAAGTTATTTGAGGAGTAGAAAATTGGCGTGCATTAGCGCAACCGGGTAAACAAAAACTCATAATTATGTAACTCTCATGAAACTGCATCTTTTGCAAACGGCTGATCTGGAGGTTTTAAAATTGGCGGCAGCTTTTTAAAAATAAGGCTTATGAGCTGTTAAAATTATTAATAATGGTAGTTATTTCACAATTTTATATTAAATAATTCATATAAGAAATTAAAGACAAAACAGAAAAGCGTTGTACAGTGGAAATGGGTAATGAGTACCAAATTACGTAGAAAGAAGAAGAAAGAAAATCGCGACGGTTAGGGCGTGAGGAGTTTCGTTCCCCTCCCGCGCCCCGCCTTCGCCTTAGCTAGCATGACTGCTTCGAAGAAGGAGGAGACGGCATTCTAGTCCCCCTCGCTCTGTACCATGGTCTGTACCAAAGTCGGACGCGTGAGGTCGCCGTCGTCGATCACATCCCTGAGGATACGGCGGTGCTCTACCCACGTAGGGCACACCGACATCGTGTGCTCCAACGTGTCCTCCGGGCGGTTTTCGCAGTAATGACATTCGGTCGTTTCCTCCCGCCCAATCCGACACAGGACTCTACCGAAACTTCCGTGTCCGGTTTTGTGTTAAGCCACTCCTCAAAGAGGGGACTTACTTGCTCCCATTCTGCCATGAGATCGCGCCGGAGCTCATCCCACCACGCAATAATCTGGCAAGACATAGCGACACTAGGATTTGCTTATGTTGTGGGTGCCTTACAAATTTACATAGGCAAGTTAGTATTCAAGCGTCGACCCATCAAATAAAAAAAAACACATGACACCCAGACCCAGAACAACAATTTGTGTATTGTATAGTAATTGCCCATCCATCGTGCCAGCCAAACAGTCAAATAGAACACCAACCAAGATAAACATTATAATCTACAATCCTCTTTATAAACAAAATATAGATAATAAAGTGATAGTCAGTAATCATTATCCTATTAATTTATATTAATCACTTTTCATTGATATAAATACTGAGGCTTCACAATTGATCACCAAAGTGTCCCCAGCAAGTCAAACAACATGCGTGTCCTTGTGTTCCTGGCTCTGTGCTTTGCGGCGGTCGCAGGTAAGATTTGCCATATTTTTTGCGATAAAATAAGAAATAGGTGCAGCATTTTGCATTATTTATTGGGACTGTCCTTAAGAGGAGATTTTTTCTTATTTTTTGAAAAAACGTTGCCCCACATTATGATTTTCTCCTGTGTCGTGGGTGCGTTTACAAACATACAAGTTCACATACACAATGACACCCAGACCCGAAACAACAATTTGAGGATCACACAGTGTTGTTCCGTGCGGGAAACGAACCCGCGACACGTTGCACGGCAGCCGGTTGCCCAGCCACCGCACCAACCGTGCAGTCAATTGCCCACCATCAGGTTCAAATTGCTCACTTGCCAAATTGTCATAAAAATGATGTCATTCAAATGTTCGGGTTCAGTTTCAATTTTAAAGTAGTTAGAGTTAGGGTCTAGGGTGATCCTTCGTCGCCAAAGCTAACTGATTAGCTAGAGATAATAATATCCTTAATACAGTGAGACTGATCAGTCACTCCAAGTTACTCTCTCCAAATAAAGAAACAATTGGTGTAAATATCGCAGAGCGATCTTAGAGAGAGCTGTTTTTGAATATTGGTTCATCGTTCTAAGAGGATCTAGGAAGATAATACTAAATATTAATTATCAAAATTAAAATTTCCAGCCGTCCCGTCTAACTCCCAGAGGATCGTCGGTGGATCAGTCACTACTATTGACCGGTACCCCACCATTGCTGCTCTGCTGTTTAACCGCTGGGGTAGCACCTTCTCTCAATCTTGCGGTGGTATCATCATCAACAACCGATCCATCCTCACTGCTGCTCACTGCACCGTGTAAGTTACCTTTAATCAAAGCTCGTCAAAAATGGCTAAACGTTATATTTGCGGCTAAATATAAAATGTTTATTAACAATTATTTTTGCAGTGGTGATGCCGCGAATAGGTGGCGTATCCGTGTGGGATCCACTTGGGCCAGCAGCGGTGGTGTCGTTCACAACGTCGCCCAGAACATCGTTCACCCTCAATTTAATCAAGGAGTTCGTATGAACAACGACGTCGCCATCCTCCGCTCCGCCTCCACCTTCTCCTTCAACAATAATGTCCGCGCTGCTTCTATCGCTGGTGCCAATTATTTCCCCGGTGATAACCAAGCTGTCTGGGCTGCTGGATGGGGCGACACTTTCGTAAGTTAAACTTTATTATCATACTGAAGAAATATTTTTTTACACTTTTTATTATTTATTAAAAACTAGCTTCTGCCAGCGGCTTCGCCTGCGTTTTCGTAATTAAAAGTAGCCTCTGTGTAGACCATAATTTACACTTGTTCCAAATTTTATTCCGATCCTTCAGCTGTTCTGACGTGGTTGAGTAACCAACATATATGCAAACGCACAACCTCACAAACATTCGCATTTATAATATTAGTAAGAAGTAAGATTAATAGTTTAGCTTTGTATGTCACTTGGTCTCTCTATGAACCGGTTAAAGAAGATTTTTGTGTTATAATAACTTTCTTTCTATTTCAGTCTGGCTCAAACGCTGGCTCCGAGCAGCTCCGTCACGTCCAGGTTGTAGTTATCAACCAGAACACTTGCAGAAACCTGTACGCCAATACTGTCTTCACAATCAACGACAACATGTTGTGCTCCGGTTTGCCCAATGGTGGTCGCGACCAGTGCCAGGGTGACTCTGGTGGTCCTCTCTACCACAACAACATCGTAGTTGGTGTTTGCTCTTTTGGTATTGGCTGTGCTGACGCTAGGTACCCTGGTGTCAACGCTCGTGTATCCCGCTACACTTCTTGGATTTCCTCCAATGCATAAGTGTTTTTGGTAAACGTACGACCAGTATAATATTTATTTTGACGTTTCTGCTTGTTACTAATATTATTTTACACTGGCATTACACTTCCATTACAGTTTACTATTATTATTACTATTTTATGTTGCCGGACTCTAGTGTAAATCACATGGATCACTTTTATACATTCAGATGATTACGAAATAAACCCTTCTGAGAACCGAAACTTTATTTTATTTTTAACCATTTTTCTTCTTCTTATTTTATTAATTTTCTCTTTTATTACATTTTTTATGCTCGAGTATGTAAAATTATTAATATAGTTATGTCCATGTTTAGATTTGCGTGTGACTCTAAAGTAGTCAAGTGTCACAATCGATGTGTCAAGAGACTACGTCCGCCTTTTTGTGAACGTCCTTAGCCTAAATTTAGTTTTACCTTAGAGAATCTTTTTCTATTTTCACTTGTTATTTAATAGTACGAGAGATGACGACCAAATCATGTCTCATAGCAATACGGCAAAAACCCTATAAAATCGTTAGATTGTGTGATTCTGAACCCGACTAGGTGTGTAGTAACGGTGGAAAGTGCAGCAACTGCGTGGGAGGCCATTTCTGCTGTGTCAAAGATATCTGAGTATCGAAAAGTGGTCTGATAGAGAAGGTGCTACACTTATTTTGTCTGATATAAATTTTTTACACATGTGGACAACTTATTTTATCATGTCCAACAATTTTCAGACATATTGCCATGATACCGATCGGTAAAATTTGTTAACATTTTCAAAACGGTCTCAAAATTTAATACGTTCACATTTCCGTCTGAAAATTGTTTTGTTCGCATCAAATAACCAAAATTTACTAATAAAAAAGATTTTCAGGCGTATTGCTATAAGACATTTTATTTGTCTCGTTTTAACTTTTTTAAGTGATTTTACGGGTTTGCGCTACACTACTAACGTCTGAAAAATATGTTTCCGGTATCTCAGAACTATCATTCAACTACAGTCTGCGAATCAGACATATTGCTATGATGCAATTCGGTAAAATTCTTTGACAATTTAACAATTTTGAAAATTCGGCCAGATCAAACGCTACGCGGAAAATGTCTGATATTGGTATTTTCGAGTTCAGAATAATCGTACCTATCGATTTGATGTGGTTTTGGCCGTATTGCTATGAGACAAATACTTTGGTCATCATCTCTCGTACAGTAATTATTTTTATGACATTATTAGTTTTGAAAAATGATCAATTTTGATGGATATAATTACTAAAATAAGAAGGGGATATTATATATACATAGTGTGTATTTACATATACATAGGCTACTTCTTATCCCACAGAAATGCGTGCGAAGGCGCTAGCAATATAGTAACAAACTAACGGGTACCAAAACGGGTACCAAATAGTGCAAATCAGTTCGCAAAAGAAATAAAATTCCTTCCAATGTGTACGCTACATGGGACAATCGTTAGAGATCTCACGACGGGGACTGTCTAGGGATAAGGTCGTAGTAGCGGTGTTTTTGGACATCGCCAACGCCTTTAACTCCCTATCCTGGAGCTTCATCCAGGATCATTAGGTCGCACACATCGGGCCCTAACTGCAGGACAGGTCCATCAGGGGCGTCGCTGCCGCGGGGCGAAATTCCGCTGTCGTGTCAGGTTAGTGCGTAACGAGATTAGCTCTGGTGCGATCTCATGGCAGAATGGTAGCAACGACTGTCCCAACCGAGGGCTGGGCTCGGCATCCTTACCTACCGTCTGACGCAGGCGCTTAGCGGACATGGGACGAAACATCTGGGTGAGGACACGGTGGAACTTACGGTGGGGGCATCTCCAGAATGGGCTGAGCACCGCTCTGCCAGAGATATGATCAGCGATGGCGACCATTCGCGTCCGACTGTAGTCCGGGTCATGATCCGGAGTGAGGAGGACTGGGAGGCCGATCTCCTCCTTTTGTCAAGCAGACATGCTAGCAAAGGAGGACGTGGAGCTGGTAAGGCAGAGATCACCAAACGCCTCACAACCCATTCGTCGAGTTTCAATTAGTTTCGATACTCCGGGCATCAGGGATCGCAACTCTGGCCACCGTAAGTACGGGCCTGCGGACGTAGCTCATCGCTCGACCAGAACCAGACCTGAGTGTACGACGTGCCGCGTTCCGCGCGCGTCGATGAAAGCTTTCAGTACACCACAGATGGGGCCCAATACGGGTTTCATCTGTCCACGGGTGTCCACTGCGAGGGCCGCCCGGAGAACACGGTGGAGCATACGGTGACCTGCCGCCCGATCAGAACCAGACCCGCGCGTACGGCGCGTCACGTTTCGCTCGCGCCTAAAGGAGCCATCAGACCACCACAGATGAGGCCCAATAGCGCTGATACCGATACGGAGCCGCGGAAGACTTAACGGGTTGCCGGGGGTCCGGCTCGAAGTGCAGGAGTAGGAGTGACTAAAAACCACCCGTTTTTAGTCACTCCGGGTGGGAGAAGGCAGTGGATGATGTTCCCCCCTCAAAAAAAAGTAGTCATGAATCGCTTTTGTATAACTATGTTCCGATATAAATTGAGAAAGAATTTATTCAAAAAAAACTTAAATAAAATTAAAATTAACTATTACTAAATGAATAATAAAATATATATAACTTAAGATTAAAATTATATAAAAGAAAAACAAAACCAACTATTTATAATATGTAAATGTACCCAGAAGGCTGGCAGCATTGCCACGTTGTGTGGCAATGCTTAACCTCTGACTGAGAAAAAGATCAGCGCTCTGGTCACGAAATGTGTCAACCAGGCGTTTTGAAATGTTTTTGAATAATTTAAGCGCACTCGGACACCACGGACCTAGCGTCTCAACCCCTAACGGCTCAAAGATATAACTATCAACAAGGTTGTTATACTTGCGCCGCCTGAGGTTTTCTGCAGAGGCAGAAGCCGAACCAGCACAACCCGCCGTTACTGGAAGATGAGAAGATGCAAGGGTGTCGACGCAGGTTGCGTCCCACACCAAAGACCTTCCCAGCTTCCAGGGCATAATGGACATACCGTCGGGTCTCTTACCATCGTCGCGTACCAAACCCTTTGGTTCCAGAACAGCTGGTACACCGGCGATGATAAGAGCTCGACGGATAATGTCGTTAATGCTGGCGTGTCGAGCTATCCGGCCCTTGCTTCTGCTACACGATAGGCCGTGGTGGCCGAGATGGTCGACCATCTCACCGCATTGACAGCGATGCGGAGTAACACAGGGTGCACCTACACGCAAGCAAGCAGCAAGCCGAAAAGTTGAGTCATTCAACATCGTGCCAATATTGAGTGACGGAAGTGCCTGAAGCCAGAGGCCTGATTCCCACTCACACACAGCCAATAGGCGAGCTAACTCCGCAGGATTGGTGCTCGTATTAATTAGATTATTATGCACCAACCTACAAAGCGGCTCGTCCCATTGTCTGATAAATATAAAAAATATAAAATATTACGTCCGATATAAATGTTAGATATAAATAAATCATAACTTTGTATAATATCGTTTGACAGAATTTTCAGTTCGTTGAATATTTATGTATTTGCTATAACACCATTGGCGCTAATGATCAAATGTATAATGTTCATTTGATGTAACGTTCAGATGGTATTAGTATATTTAAACTTTCTAGAAAGATTTTTGGGCACCTGACACTTTTATTTGGTTCATTTACAAACGTTAGAACTGTGACCCTCACAAGGCGTAAGGCGAGCGAGCGCAGTGAGTGGTGCCGCGGCAGCGGCTACCGAGTGCTATGTCACTAATCGCGTTTCAAATATTTTCATATCATTTAACCGTTTATATTGAATTCAAATTCATCTAATTATTACTTGTAATTAATTATTCGGAATTATTCAAGTGAATAATTCTTCGAAATTAGTTTATAGCAAATAAAATTCGATTTAGTAATATTACATCAAACGTTGTTCGATCAAACAACGGTGAGAGTGATATTATTATTATTGTAATTTTTTTGTTAGTTTTATTTTAATGTTTGAAAATAATGAACCTCCTTTTTTATATAGTAATTTTTATTTTGACGTATACCTTTAATGACATTGTTTTCTCACTTAATATGACATATCTTGTTTTATGTAAAAGTTTTGCACGCCCGAATTGTGGGCAGAATAAGAGGGACTATAATCATAATGTGACCACTGTATACCTTGTTCGGGCAAATAAATGATTTTTGATTTTTTTGATTTGATTTTGAGCCGTTTTTAATCACGTTATATTTTATTGTATTAAAATCAGTCGCGGGATAAAACCGCAAGTACCTACGTGGTAGTATTTGATTTCTGATTAAAAAGCTAGCGGTTCCGTCGTAGTGCGGTCAGGCCTTTAACCATGAGCTTCTTCCAACCTTTAAACGAAATTCGACGACGACTAAAAACGACGAATTTTTTTTTTTTCAAAGAAATACACAACAATTATTTGATTTTATAAAAATACTACACTATGAAATTAAACTAACACTTGTGGTTATGGAATACAATACCAAAACTCTGTAGGGCACCATAATAAAACTTAACTTGTTTCCTTAAGTAAATAGACCTAACTTAATGATCAACGTCATTTACCACTTTAAAAACTCAATTATGGAAAGAATCAATACGAAAATATAACTTTAAATATTTGAGAAAATAATAAACTTATTATTACGACTTCAACGGCACAACTGAGAAAAATGTCTTAAGTGTTTGCATAGGGGATTTTTAGATATCGTATATTAATTAAATTTAAGATATGAAATGAGGTTGGGTAGATAATTGATCTCAGATGGACTTACCATCCTTATCGATTTTGTGCAAAGTTATTATTAGTAGCAACAAATTTATTTTCCAGTAATTTAATGTGATAAAAAGGATTACATAGATACCATCTAGCTGCTTTATCTACATGCTTCTGTCAGCGGTTTTACTTGCGTCCTCATGGGTTTGAAATAGCCTGTGTCATTCTCCAAACCTCTTTTCCAAACACCACAATCTTTTCCTGAATCAAGTCATGGTGGCCCGGAGGTTTAATACGCAGCTTTCATGCATGAGGGTGCGGGCTCGAAACTTACCAATGGCAAGTATCAATGTGACTTTTTTCGAGCTATATGTACTTTCTAACATTATCTAGACACCACTGACAAACGGTAAAGGAAAACATCGTGAGGAAACCTGGGCTTATAATTTCTAATTATAAGTTTGTAATCGCCTACCCGTATTGAGTAAGCGTAGTGATTCATACCTTCTCCGTGTGAGAAGAGGCTTTGCTCAGCAGCAGATATAGGTTGTTGATGATGATGATGATAACAACTTTATTAGTCGATTTTACGTGAAGGGGTAATAAACAGGTTGCTCATAGGTAGGCGTGCTCCATCGTCGGCCACATCATTGCTTACCACCAGGCATGGAGCTTTTCAAAGGCACAACCTTCATATTCATGAGCAGCATTCCGCGACCTGCGACGCGGCGATGGTCGCGCCTCTACATAGACATAGAGGTAATAATTAATGTAGTATGTCTCGCGAAAGTTATAATATAGAAATAAATGACGTTGTAACTTTTTTCATAGGGTTTCTTGGGATACTTGTGCAGTGGTATCCCGTTGCCTTCTGCACCAGAGCTTTTAGAAGGTAATTGTACCTCAAGGCTATTATAGTCTATTCCAAGCAGTTTCCCGATCAGCGGATGGTTATACCGCCATCGACTCGGTCGCCAAGATCTCGTCTCGCACCCAATAACTACTTGGTTATTGGCGTCGCAGTGCATACAGGTGACGATCTCCGGCCACCGTAAGCACGGGCCTTCGGACGGCGTGCATGGGTAACTCGCCGCCCGAACAGAACCAGGCACGAGCGTACGGCGCGTCGAGTTCCGCGCGCGCCTCAAGGAACCATCAGACCACCACAAATGGGGCCCAACAGGGCTGATACCGATACAGAGCCGCGGAAGACTTAACGGGTTGCCGGGGCTCCGGCTCGAAGTGTAGGCGTAGGAATGGGGTGGTTTTTAGTCAGTTAGAGTCTGACACTCCCTCTCGCCTCACCCGGGCGTGAGAAGTCATTGGATGATTTTCCCCCCTCAAAAAAAAAAGCGCGTGCAGGTGAGGTTGACAGTTTGGCCGGATAAAAGCGTAGTTTCGTTAAAGGACAAGATGGAGCGAAATAACACTCAGAGCAATGAAAGCCTTTCAAAGGGACCACCATCAAAAATGAAGCAAATGAGGAGAAAGAAAATATAAATTATTATATTTATGTGTATAATTTGGCGCTTGAGAATGGGGTAGAAGAGATGTGAGGAAGATTTGGGTACGGTAACCTCACTCACTTCACAGACACGGGTACGGTAATCCAAAACAACGCAAGCGCTGTTTTACACACCAGCTTTCTGTGAGGCCTTAGCATTACACGGTCGAACCGCCCCGTTCGTGTTAAAGGGAAATAATTTGGATAAAAACATATTGGTAATTCGTATTTTTTATAAATTTAAGGGGCCATCGATTGACCTCTATCTCCCTTGGTAGTAAACGATGATGCGGCCTACGACCGAGCACGTCGACGCATAAGCTACCTATTCACCCGGGCATTGAAGACAGCTAGGTTATATCTCTTCAAGAAACTCTGGCAACAGACTCTGGTAAGAATTCCACTCCTTAGCAGTACGCACAAGGAAGCTTGATGCCAGGTTTAATGTCGTGGTGGTAAGGGTACGGGTTCAAAACCTACCAACAGCAAGTATCAATGTGACCTACTTCGTTCAATGTCGTTGTTGAAAACGACTCCTTGATTATATTGAGGGTGAACGATGAACCGGTTGACGTTGTGAACGACACCACCGCTGCTGGCCCAAGTAGAGCCAACACGAATACGTCAACTGGCAGCGTCACCATTGCAAAATAAATTTAACTGTTAGGCCTATTACCCTTCGTTAATTGATTTCAAGTTTAAGTTTTCCACATTTTAGTTCTTTCACGGTGAAGTGCACAGCGGTGAGAATAGACCGGTTGTTCAAGATGATTCCACCACATTCTTGCCAGTACGAAACCCAGTTGTATGTGTACAATAGAGCAGCAATTGTGGGGTACTGGTCGATGGTGGTCAGTGATCCACCGACGATCCTTCGAGATCTTGATGGAACGGCTGCAAAATAGAATGGACACACACACACACAACATCACGCCTTTTATCCC